AAGGAGTGGCAAGTAAGCTGCCAACAGGAAAGATATGATCAGACCATTACACCACAGTACCAAAGTGGTGACGAAAACCGTGAAAAGAGTAGAACGAGCCATGCTACACTTATATTTCTACATTTGTCTTCACCAACACATTCACCTATTTGTCGCAGGTAAACAAGTTCCCTCAAATGCATTTCACCCATGCAGAATCTTTGCCAAGTGGGTGACCAGATATCACCATCAACACCCCAATTAGACAACAGGCTTGATAAGGAGAAACTTGTCTTTGCCTCGTCATCTTTATCGCCTCCATCACCAGCGTGGAATGCATTTCGTGCACCTCATCCTGCGTGGCTGTTTGCCAGCCTTGGATGGTCTGTTGATGCGTATGTGCGTGTACGTGAAAATAAAGGTGTTCCACTAACCTCCCCCTTCACATCTCAAAGGGCAATTCCAGGGAGTGCAAAATTTATTTCCCTTCGTTACCTTAACCCCGCTGGCCCTGATCGTTGGCCACTTTGGAGGCGAGACCGAAGGCAATACTCATTTTCTGCAATTAATGAAGAAGATTTGCTTCGAACCAAAGAATTGCTGCGAGTGCTAGTACAAGAAAAATAAATCCACAAGTAGTGTATTAATTAGAGTAACTTCAAAGCACCTTTTTTGGTTCTTCCGCTTTACAAATTTCTCACTTACTTCGTTTCTACTTTGACGAGAGAAGACACAGTTTGCACGCCAGCCTTGTTCATCCTTTCAAAACGTTATTCAACAACTTTTGACTTAGCCACAACGGGAGTTGAGTTTGGTGCGTTTGCCATCAGTGGCCCAGGTCCATCGCTCTGATTATCTCATCTCTGTCCAGCACCACATACATGTGACACGTGTTCCGGTGGCAGAGCAAATTGTGATGCCAAAAGACGGGTCACCTTTGAAACACGCAAGTCGGTGCCTTCCATTCCTAGGACGAGGTGAATTGGGTTGATTGTGCCTTTCAGCATCAGTTAAATTCGCGAAGAGGGCAAAGTCGAACAGCTGGAGGTGTGATGGTGTTACGTGGAGAGTGCGCACGGGTTAAATTAACTCCAAGTCTGTTATACATGCAGTCAATTCGCTAATCACCCTCATCCAGTGTTGGCCTACTGCCTGAAGCGGTTCTTTCCAGACACATTATCGAGATTTCAAGCAAAGGGATTGGTGAATGCAGCAGAGCGGAAAGAGGAGACAATCATCCTGTCAACGTGTCAGCGAAACCAAAGATGCCAAACTCCAGACTCTCAGAGGAACGTCAATTTGCACTGAAGCGCTGCAATGTGCAATACCTGGACACACATTCTTCCAGCGTAGACCTGACATCCGAATAGAGTTCAATACTCGCAGACAGTCGAGCACGTCTGTCAATAGCAGCTGTGA